AGGTGGCCATGTTGAGCAAGCGGGTTGCTGAAGCGTGTTACTGCATGAATCGCGGGGAAATCTTGTGCGAAAGCGCGATTTTCAAATTAAGCTTGAGGAAGTACACAGCGAGAGCGTGATTCCTGAGCGTCGAGGGCGCGGCGGTTGAATACATTGCGAGGGCGTGCCATGCGAAGGCGCGATTCTTGCATAACTTGAGAGAAAGTCCCGCGCGAGAGCGCGCTTTAGGAATACATTGTGAGGAAGTATCAGGCATGAGCCGTTGTTGTTGTAACCACGGGGCCGGGGCGCAGTTTGTATTTTCCCATGTAAAAAACCGGGTGCGAGCCCCGGGAGAAGCATCATAATCTAGCAAATACGTTGGTTACCGGAGGGGGGGCAACATCATTTGTTCCAAAGAAACGAGATTTCGACAACATCAACACCACTAACAACAACAACAACAACAACAACAACAACAACAACATCAACGCCAACACCACACATTTGAAGAGTGTTCGCGCTGACGTGCTCGCGTGCCATTCTACACGTATATCCCAAACGCTCGATATCCGCCCTCTTCGTCTTCGACCGTGTCCCCATAAGGGGTGTATGTTCTTCCCTGCGCATGTCTTCTGCACAACGTTTGAAGCAGGCGAAGCAATGACGGATGAGAAAAAGGGGCGAAGGGCAGGCGGGTTGCTGAAGCGTGTGTCGTGCACGATTCGCGAATAACGCGATTCCCAAGTACATCGTGAGGGAATCCACAGCGAGAGCGTGATTCCTCAGTGTCGGGGGGCGCGGCGTTTGAGTAACACGCGAGCGCGCGATTCCTGCACAACTTGAGAGGATGTCCATCGCGAGATCGCGATTGCACGGTAAATAGGGGGCCACATGCGAACCCTACCCCTACCTCCCACGATGTTTGAAGGGGAGGGTGGGGTTCACTTTGCTCGGGAGCTCCCCGAACGAAGTGAACCCCACCCTCCCCCTCAGAACTCGTGGGGGGTAGGGGCAGGGTTCGCATGTGGCCCCCTACAAAATGTGAGGAAGTATCAGGCGGGAACCGTTGATGTTGTTGATGTGGTTGTAGCTCGAGGGCCAGGAGCCTCAGAATTTCCCCATGTGAGAACAAACCAAAACATGTTACAATCAAAAACCCTAATAAGGACGCGCGACTTTGCTCAGGGTACCCTTGCGTCCTTGCTCTTCCTTGCTCTGGCGTCCTTGAGGTTTTCGTCGTCCGCCGCCCCTTCCAAGGGTCTTGCGTCCTTACCGCGCGTCCTTATAAGGGCTTTTTGATTGTAATTGAACAATGCGTTTGTCGCCGTCGGAGGGATCAACCATATTGTGGTGTAAGAAATGAGAACTGACCTGCTCGCGAGCCAGTCAACATTTCTATCCCGAGCATTCGGTGCCCGCCCTCGACGTCTTCAATCGTGCCCTCCTTGGGTGTGTATGCTCCTTGTCCGCCACGTGCGTCTGGTGCGACCCCTAGCTAGTACAGGGGAAAAGAGGACGGATGGAAAGAGGAAGCAGATGGATGGAGCACGAAACAAATCAGCAGGAAGGGGGCAGGAGCAGAACACACCCGGTATAACCAGACGGGCAGATCGAGTGGGCAGACCCTATGGGGCGGGTCGGGAAGGCGGGCCCAGGTGGCCAGGTCGAGCAGGCGGGCTGTCGAAGCGTGGGTCGTGCATGAAACGCGAGGAGCTCTCGGGCGATAGCGCGATTTTCATAAACCCTGGGAATCGCATGAGCGGTAGCGTGATTCATGCGTGTCGAGGGCGCGGCGTCCAAATACATTGCGAGGTGGTCCTGCGCGAGGGCGCAATCCCTGGGTAAAATGTGAGGATGACCTCCGCGAGTGCGCGATTGTATAGTGAACGGTGAGGATGTATCCCTCGGGAACCGCTGTTGTTGTTGAGCTCTCTCACTACTGAAGAATAAGTATTGTCGATCCCCCCCTGCGGTGCACATAGTACTTTGTCAGTTGAAGTGCCCCTCCGGGCGCTCGCACCTTTTTTTGGTTCTTGGAAGGCCACCAGCCTCAACCTGCGTTGTTGCCCCCCCGGGTTACAACAACAACGGCTCCCGCCTGAGACCTTTTCATAACTAGCCAGGACCACCGCTGATGGGCCTGTTTTCCACCACCACCAGAAGTTGGAGGGGGGAAGGAAGTGGAGGAGGAGGAGGAGGAGGAGGACGAGGAGGAGGAGGAGGACCCCGTCCCCCTCCAACTCATGATGGTGGTGGTGGTGGTGGAAAACAGGCCCATCACCCGCTCCCGCCCGAGATTTCCTCGCATTTGATTCAGGAATCGCGCTTTCGCTTGGCTCGTCCCTACAATTTATTCAGGAATCGTTTTCCCGGCGTTCTGGAGTCGCGCTCTCGCTGGAGACTTGCTTGCAAATTGCGCAAAAATAGCGCCCTTGCGTTGGATTTTTTGCAATGTACTCAAGCGCCGCGCTCACGACACTCAGGCACCCATGAGTCGAGCTCACGCTTAGGACTCCCTCACATATCATGTAGGAGTCGGGATCTCGCTGCCCTACGTGGACCCGTTGAAACCCTTCGTGGCCCCCTCGCAGCCCGTCATGGCCCCGTTGCAGTCCTTCGTGGCCCCCTCGCTGCCCTTCGTGGCCCCGTTGCAGCCCTTCGTGGCCCCCTCGCTTTGTGTCGTGGCCCCATATGCATGCCCTTCGTGGCCCTGTGTGCATGCCCTTCGTGGCCCCGTTGCAGCCCTTCGTGGCCCCCTCGCTGCCCCTCGTGGCCCCGTTGCAGTCCTTCGTGGCCCCCTCGCTGCCCTTCGTGGGCCCATATATGTATGCCCTTCGTGGCCCCCGCTCGTTCGCGCCCATCGTGGCCCCATATGCATGCCCTTCGTGGCCCCGTTGCAGCCTTTCGTGGCCCCGTCGCTGTCCTCAGTGGCCCCTCGCTGCCCTCCGCGGCCCCAAATACGTATGCCCTTCGTTGCCCCTGCTCGTTCGCGCCCGTCGTGGCCCCGTGTGCATGCCGTTCGTGGCCCCGCTGTCGCCCTTTGTGGCCCCCTCGCTGTCCTACGTGGCCCAGTTGCTACCCTCCGTGGCCCCGTCGATGCAGTCTGTGGCCCCGCATTATTTGCCCTTCGTGGCCCCCGCTCGTTCGTGCTCTTCGTGGCCCCATACGCATTCCTTTCGTGTCCCCGCTGTCGCCCTTCGTGGCCTACTTCGTGCCCTTCGTGGCCCTGCTGTCTTCCTCTCTCTCTCTCGCTCTCGCTTTCGCTCGTCGTCGTCGTCGTGGTCGGTCCCCTGCCCGTCCCTCTTGCGGTCGGGTTGCCGCCGATCAGCGCTGCCGCTGGCCGGGCCGACGGTCCGCGGCCGCCCCGCCGCTTGCCGGGGCCCAGCCTGCAGGGAAGACAGGCATACCCCCCCAAAGGGTACGATCGAAGACGAAAAGGGCAGGTATCGAGTTTCGGTCGGGAAATTCGCGTTAACGGACACCCGAGCAGATAAGAGCGAACGGTCTTAGTTTGATTGTGATTGTTGTTGGTGGTGTTTTTGTTGTTGTTGTTGTTGTCGTCGTCGTTGTTGTTGTACCTCGGAGGCCAGGTGCCCAATCAAAGCTTCAAGCTTTCCCCTTGGTCAGAAAAAACGGGCGCGAGCCCCGGAAGGAACATTTTAACTGACACATGCAATTGTCGCCGTAGAAGGGATCAGGACATGACAATTCAGCTACACAAGCATCAACCACACTCATGATAAGACTGCTCGCTCCTATCTGCTTGCGTGCCACTTAACATTCAGATCCCGAGCCGTCGGTACCCTCCTTTTTAGTCTTCCATCGGGCCCCCGCTGGGGGTATATACTCCTTACCCGCAGGGCGCATGTAATGCTACCGCCAATGCAGCGGAGGAGAGGGCGGATGTGATGGGGAGAGAGAAGGATGGAACAACAACCAATTCAGCAGGAAGGTGGGCAGGAGCAGAGCACACGAGGTGTAACCAGACGGGCAGGTCGGGCAGACCCTCGGGGGCGGGTCGGGACGGCGGGACCGGGCGGCCAGGTCGAGCATGCTGAAGCGTGGGTTCTGCATGACACGCGCGGAGCTCTCGAGCGATCGCGCCGTTCTCATGAATCATGAGAGTCGCTAGAGCGGAAGCGTGATTCCCGAGTGCCGAGGGCGCGGCGCCTGCATAAATTGCAAGGAAGTCCTTCCTGCGTAAATTGTGGGGGCGTCCTGCGCGAGCTCGCGATGTTATGACACGCTGTGAGGAGGTATCAAGCGGGAGCCGTTTTTGGTGTAGCTCGGGGACCAGAGGCGCAGTTTGGTGACATTGCACTGGGCCTGCTTAAGACAGGGTGCGAGCCCCGGGAGGGGCACTTCAGTAGGAAGAGCAAACCAGTTACCGAAGGGGGGATCAACAATAATTATGTAATGTCTCAGAAGTGAGAGTTTCACAGCCGCAGCAGCAGCGCCAACAACAACAACGCAGCAACAGCAACAACAACATCAACATCAACAATCTGCTCCGCGGAGTCATACTTCAGCCGCGCACCCAGGGACAATGAACGACTGTTTCGCCTCCTCATTCTGATCTAGTTTGGTTGCTGTTTTTTGTCCTCCCCCAGACACCCCCGTCTTCCTGCGCCTCCTGGGGCGTCCACGTCTTCACGGCTTGGCTCCTCCCTTCGGCATGCTGACCAGTACGCGCCTTTGGATAGGTCTCGGGGCCGATTCTTGAGAGTCGTCGCGGCGAACAAAATCTGGTCCTGAGGGTAACGGGTCTTGGATGTGTCTGGCCGACTCCGGGCTACGGGGCCAGGGAAACGCCCCTGGATCCTGGGCCCGCTTCCCGCAGGTCCACTGCTCTCTCATGCCAGTGGCGGAGGGGCTCGATGTATACTGTACTGCGTCGCCTTTTCGGCCGCGGTGTATGGACGCTCCAGCATCCCATAGCCTGGAAAGCTGGGGCGTCCCTACACCGAACTCCTTGGCCGACCACGCGGCGTATACGTCGAGCTCCTGCCGCGGCGCAGGGCCTGGCCCGGCGGGGCCTGCGCGCGGTCACCGTGGGCGAGCTCGAGGCGCTGGCGCGCTCGCGGGACCTGCTCGAGGACCCGCGGCGAGGGCGGCCGTGGACCGCCGGCCTCCTCCTCCTCCTCCTCCTCCTCCTCCTCCTCCGCCTCCTCCTCCTCCTCCGCCTCCTCCTCCTCCTCCTCCTCCTCCTCCTCCTCCTCCTCCTCCTCCTGGGCCAGGGCCAGGGCCATGCCCGGAGCCCCTGGGGCCACAGGCCTCCCCATCGCCGAGGCCGGGAGGGGAGGCATCGTGCATGCATCGCGTACCTCCAGGCCTGCCAGATGGAGCCACATCTTAAGACGGGGGTCAGAGGCATCGCCGAGGCAGCGCCGAGGCATTGGCGACGCGGCGCTCGGTGTCCAGCCAGAGATGCTCCACGCCGACGTCGCCGCTGCACCGCCGATGCATCGACGATGCGGCGCGATGCGCCCCACCTGCCTCGGGGCCTGGGAGCACCTGCCTCGGGGCCTGGGATGGCCCAGTCCGGGGACGGCGCTGGTGCACGGCCTCGGGGCACTGGTCACTGGGCTTTGGCAAGCCGGGACCTCACTACAGTGGGGGCCCATGCCAAGAAACACCCTGCTTGCCTCCAGGGGGTGCCCTGGGCCTCTTGGGCTTCGAGATGGGTTCGCCATTCGGAGTGTGACGTTCCCGCTCCGAAAATCGATGGACGTCCTGGGGTCTCAGGGTTGGGTTTCTTGTGGAAGGTCTCTGGTGGACTGGCCTACGCTGTAACCCCTAATTGACCAGATCCCAGATCCCCGCGGGAGCGAACGGAGACTTTGAAGAGCGCCTCGACCTGCGGCCGCAGGTCTCGTGGGCGGGGGCACATCCGTGTCTGCGGCCTCGCGGGGGCGTCCTCGGAAACAAAAATACGCCGTGCCCGCGGGATCGCGCCCTGGGGCCCAGACCGTGAGGGCGCGGACACGGACATGTTCGCTGCTCGTGAGTTTTCCAGGCTTGCCAGAGTGCAAGGAGGATGGGGAGGGGGAGTTGGGGAGTGGGAGGGGGAGAGGGGGAGGAGGAGGAGGAGGAGGAGGAGGAGGAGGAGGAGGAGGAGGAGGGGAGGAGGAGGAGGAGGAGGAGGAGGAGAGGAGGAGGAGGAGGAGGAGGAGGAGGCGGAGGCGGAGGCGGAGGAGGAGGAGGAGGAGGAGGAGGAGGCGGAGGAGGAGGAGGAGGAGAGGGGAGGAGGAGGAGGAGGAGGAGGAGGAGGAGGAGGGGGGGGGAGGAGGAGGGGGAGGAGGAGGAGGAGGGAGGAGGAGGAGGAGGAGGAGGAGGAGGAGGAGGAGAGGAGGAGGGAGGAGGGGGAGGAGGAGGGGGAGGAGGAAGAGGAGGAGGAGGAGGACGAGGAGGAATATGAGAGGATGAGGAGGAGGAGGAGGAGGAGGAGGAGGAGGAGGAGGAGGAGGAGGAGGGGGAGGATGAGGAGGAGGAGGAGGAGGAGGATGGGGAGGAGGAGGAGGAGGCGGAGGAGGAGGAGGAGGAGGAGGGGGAGGACCATGAGGGGGAGCTGGAGGAGAAGTGTGCCGACGTCTTGGCTCGTCAGAGTGCACGTGCGCGGGGCGCCCTCGCGGGCCCCGCCCCCCCGCGGAGAGGAGCGGCGGCGGGCCCGGCAGGCCAGGAGGGCCGGGAGGGCCGCGGCGCGGGAGGCCCGGCGGCGGGGCCGCGCCCCGAGCAGGCGTGCGAGGCTCAGGAGGGACAACAAATACAGACACAACGAATCGTCGACTCCCAGGAAGATATGGGAAAATATGGGAAGTGGGGGGGAAGACGAACGCCCGGAAAATATAGGAACATAGTGTGATTCCTGTTACTTGTGTGTATTTATTCGTGTGTTTGTGGGCCCCTTCAGAGGCGCGCGCCCGACGCGGCCGCCAGAGGCGCACGGGGCCGGCCCAGGGGCGGGGCCTCCAAGCTGTGAGGCGATGCGCCCCCCGGGGCAGCGGCGGAAAAAGTTCCCTGCAGGGGCACGGCCGAACGAGCGAACGAGAAGCCTAGCGCCAGACGGCGCGCGAGCAAGGTGAAGCAGGGCGCCGCGATGTCGATTTCGGTGCCACCCAGAACAAATACTGACATGAACATAACAAGTCGGAGGTCTGCGCGGATTTCTCGGATCCGCGCTGGACCCCCCTGGCGGCGCCGCTGGCGCCGCCCCTGGCGCGCTTCGCGCGCCAGGGAGGGGGGGCCAGCGCGGATCCGAGAAATCCCCGCGGACCTCTGAGTTTGTATGTTTATGCCATTCTTCCCTCCCCTATTCCCCAAGATCCTGGCGTTGCCACCTCTTGGCAAAATGGGCACCGTCGTTCGATTTCGAGCCCCAGGGCCCTCACAGATCGATCTGGCTCGAAAATGGACGCAGGAAGATGGGGTCCGGGGCTCTGGCCGTGTTTTGTTGTTGTTGTTGTTGTTGTTGTTGTTGTTGTTGTTGTTGTTGTTGTTGTTGCTGCTGCTGCTGTTGTTGTTGTTGTTGTTGTTGTTGAACATTATTATTCTAAAGAATAATTATTGTTGGGGCCCCTGGTGCGCGGCCCCCTCGCCGCGCCTAGGCCGCAGCCACATTTTCATCATTTTCGTGAGGAAGTCTCAGGCAAAACGGGGTGTCCGGATCCGGTTGTTTTGTTGTCCCCCGTTTTCCCTTGCAAAAAATAAGCTAAAGTGGACATTTCTTGTTCTAACATAACCAAACTTCAAGAATCCCTTGCAAAAAATAAGGTAAAGTGGACATTCGCGCGCGCAAGACGAAATCCTTCCAAAACCTTAGTGTTCGTAGCGATTTTAACATAAAAACATCAAAAACCAATGGTTTTTCAAAAAAAAAGTGTCAAAATTTCATCCCGCGCGCTCTTGCGGATTCGTAGGAAACCCAACACTTTTTAAACATTTCTGTCAAACGGGCTTTTGCGAGCAACTTTTTCGAACTTCTGCAACAACGGTTGCGCACCTGCCAGGGCCATCATCCCTGTCAAATAATACCATGCGGGACACATTCGTTTTTTCTTCGCGCGCGCACGCCGTCGTCGTCGGCCGCGGGGCCCTGAATAGTAGCCACGGTCGTCCGCATGCCACGAAGTGAAGTGTCCGAACGTCATAGGGCGGGAAGCTGGGTGTGGGTGGTGGCGAAGAGTCGTTTGGAAATTTGGTAGAGCTTGAACCGGCCCCCCCACAAAGTGGGGGTATTGCCCGCCTCCTATGAAAACCCTGGCACTGGTGAGAACGGAGTGTCCCCACGTGCTAGTAATTGTTGTTGTTGTTGTTGTTGTTGTTGTTGTTGTTGTTGTTGTTGTTGAACATTATTTATTCTAAAGAATAATTATTGTTGGGCCCCCTGGTGCGCGCCCCCCTGCGCCGCCTAGGCCGCAGCTACATTTTCATCATTTTCGTGAGGAAGCCTCAGGAAAAGAGGGTGTGTCAGATCCGGTTGTTTTGTTGTAATCCGCTTTCCCTTGCAAGAAACAATAGAAAATGACATTTCTTGTTCTAATATAATCAAATTTCAAGAATCCCTTGCAAAAAATAAGGTAAAGTGGACATTCGCGCGCGCAAGACGAAATCCTTCCAAAAGCTTAGTGTTCGGAGCGATTTTAACATAAAAACATCAAAAAACCAATGGTTTTTCAACAAAAAAATGTCAAAATCTCATCCCGCGCGCTCTTGCGGATTCGTAGGAAACCCAACACTTTTTAAACATTTCTGTCAAACGGGCTTTTGCGAGCAACTTTTTCGAACTTCTGCGACAACGGTTGCGCACCTGCCAGGGCCATCATCCCTGTCAAATAATACCATGCGGGACACATTCGTTTTTTCTTCGCGCGCGCACGCCGAAATCTCCAAAAACCATTGGGCTTCTTAAGAATTTTAGCACCGCGCATCATAAAATCACACGAATCGCACCGTAGGTCCTCGAAAAACACCTGCACGACTTTTCAAAATTTCTACCCGCGCGCGCTGCGCGCTCCGTCCGAACCCTAAAAAAACCAATGGTTTTCCAACATTTATGTTACATGTGTATCATGTACCATATGCATCATATGCAACAGATGTTCTGTGGAAGGCTTAACAACTTCTGTGGGTTAACAAGGCTTAACAACTTCTGTGGGTGTACGAACGTAGGCTTAACAACTTCTGTGGGTGTGTACTCCACGCCAGTGTAGTAGCCACGGTCGTCCGCAGGCCACGAAGTGAAGTGTCCGAACGTCATAGGGCGGGAAGCTGGGTGTGGGTGGTGGCGAAGAGTCGTGTGGATATTTGGTAGAGCTTGCACTGCCCCCCCACAAAGTGGGGGTATTGGCTGGCGTCGCATGAAAACCCTGGCACTGGTGAGAACATTGAGCGTTCGGGTAAAGTGATTGTTGTTGTTGTTGTTGTTGTTGTTATTGTTGTTGTTGTTGGTGGTGGTGGTGGTGTTGTTGTTGGTGTTGGTGTTGGTGTTGGTGTTGTTGTTATTGTTGTTGCTGTTGTTGTTGTTGTTGTTGAATTCTCATTTCTGAAGAATAATTATTGTTGATCCCCCCACCGGTGCATACTTTTTTTTTCTGAATCAAAGTGTGCCCCTCGACGCTCGCACCCTTTTTTTTGATAGGGAAATCCTGCTCAAACTGGCCCCCTGGCCCCCGGGTTACAACAACAACGGCTCCCGCCTGCGACTTCCTTACAATTTAGCCAGGACCCCCGCTCCCGCCCTAGACTTCCTCGCATGTTATTCAGGAATCGCGCTCTCGCTTGGGACTTCCTTACAATTTATTCAGGAACCGCTCTCCCGGCGCTCTGGAGTCGCGCTCTCGCTGGAGACTTGGTTGCAACTTACTGAAGAATGGCCTTGCGTTGGAATGTCCTGTAATTTGCCCAAGCGCTGCGCTCCCGACACCCAGGCACCCAGGAGTCGCGCCCGTTGTGGCCCCATGTGCATGCCCTTCGTGGCCCCGCTGTCGCCATTTGTGTCCCCCTCACTGTCCTACGTGGCCCAGTTGCTCCCCTCAGTGGCCCCATAGTTGCCTTCTGTGGCCCCGCATTATCTGCACTTCGTGGCCCCCGCTCGTTCGCGCTCTTCGTGGCCCCATGCGCATTCCCTTCGTGTCCCCGCTGTCGCCCTTCGTGGCCTACTCCGTGCCCTTCGTGGCCCTGCTGTCGTTCTCTCTCTCGCTCGCTTTCGCTCATCGTCGCCGTCGTCGTCGTCGCCGTCGTCGTCGACGTCGTCGTCGTCGTCGTCGTCGTCGTCGTCGTCGTGGTCGGTCCCCTGTCCGTCCCTCTTGGGGTCGGGTCGATGGTCCGCGGCCGCCCCGCCGATCAGCGCTGCCGCTGGCCAGGCCGACGGTTCGCGGCCGCCCCGCCGCTTGCCGGGGCCCGGCCTGCAGGGAAGAAAGGTATACCCCCCAAACGGGGTTCGATCGAAGACGAAGAGGGCGGGTATCGAGGGTTTGGGAAATACGCGTTGTTGGACACTCGAGCATATAAGGGCGAACCGTCTTAAAATTATTATTATTATTATTAATATTATTATTGTTGAACATTATTAATTCTAAAGAATAATTATTGTTGGGCCCCCTGGTGCACGCCCCCCCCCCCGCGCCTAGGCCGCAGCCACATTTTCATCATTTTCGTGATGAAGTCTCAGGTAAAACGATGTGATCCAGATCCGGCTGTTTTGTTGTAATCCGTTTTCCCTTGCAAAAAACACTATAAAATGACATTTCTTGTTCTAATATAATCAAATTTCAAGAATCCCTTGCAAAAAATAAGGTAAAGTGGACATTCGCGCGCGCAAGACGAAATCCTTCCAAAAGCTTAGTGTTCGGAGCGATTTTAACATAAAAACATCAAAAAACCAATGGTTTTTCAACAAAAAAAATGTCAAAATCTCATCCCGCGCGCTCTTGCGGATTCGTAGGAAACCCAACACTTTTTAAACATTTCTGTCAAACGGGCTTTTGCGAGCAACTTTTTCGAACTTCTGCAACAACGGTTGCGCACCTGCCAGGGCCATCATCCCTGTCAAATAATACCATGCGGGACACATTCGTTTTTTCTTCGCGCGCGCACGCCGTCGTCGTCGGCCGCGGGGCCCTGAATAGTAGCCACGGTCGTCCGCATGCCACGAAGTGAAGTGTCCGAACGTCATAGGGCGGGAAGCTGGGTGTGGGTGGTGGCGAAGAGTCGTTTGGAAATTTGGTAGAGCTTGAACCGGCCCCCCCACAAAGTGGGGGTATTGCCCGCCTCCTATGAAAACCCTGGCACTGGTGAGAACGGAGTGTCCCCACGTGCTAAAGTGATTGTTGTTGTGTTGTTGTTGTTGTTGAACATTATTTATTCTAAAGAATAATTATTGTTGGGCCCCCTGGTGCGCGCCCCCCCTGCGCCGCCTAGGCCGCAGCTACATTTTCATCATTTTCGTGAGGAAGCCTCAGAAAAGAGGGTGTGTACAGGATCCGGTTGTTTTGTTGTAATCCGCTTTCCCTTGCAAAAACAATAGAAAATGACATTTCTTGTTCTAATATAATCAAATTTCAAGAATCCCTTGCAAAAAATAAGGTAAAGTGGACATTCGCGCGCGCAAGACGAAATCCTTCCAAAACCTTAGTGTTCGCAGCGATTTTAACATAAAAACATCAAAAAACCAATGGTTTTTCAACAAAAAATTGTCAAAATCTCATCCCGCGCGCTCTTGCGGATTCGTAGGAAACCCAACACTTTTTAAACATTTCTGTCAAACGGGCTTTTGCGAGCAACTTTTTCGAACTTCTGCAACAACGGTTGCGCACCTGCCAGGGCCATCATCCCTGTCAAATAATACCATGCGGGACACATTCGTTTTTTCTTCGCGCGCGCACGCCGTCGTCGTCGGCCGCGGGGCCCTGAATAGTAGCCACGGTCGTCCGCATGCCACGAAGTGAAGTGTCCGAACGTCATAGGGCGGGAAGCTGGGTG